TTTGTTTATTTATTTTAATCAATTCAAATAAATCCATTTGGTTGCTCCAGTGCCTTAAATCGAGCCGAAAGTCGCAGCTACTCGCCTCGACCAGCAGCAGCAGCAGCAGCAGCAGCAACAGCAGCAGCAGCAACAGCAGCAGCAGCAGCAGCGGCCTAGCAGCTACGCTAGCAGCAGCAACAGCAGCAGCAGCAACAGCAGCAACGGCCTAGCAGCTACGCTAGCAGCAACACTAGCAGCAGCAGCAGCAGCACCACCGGCACTAGCAGCAGCAGCAGCAGCAGCAGCAGCAGCACTAGCAGCAGCAGCAGCAGCAGGTGGTTTTGCTGCTGCCAAAGGAGACACCGGAAAAGCACTTGCCTGCAGGAAGGAGACAGTGGACTGCAGTGATGCTGCTGCTGCTGCTGCTGCTGCTGCTGCTGCTGGGTGCTGCTGCGCAGATCTTCTTATGAGGATTCTCTTTAGTTGTTATTTGCAAATTAATTTCCAACTTTTCTTTTAATGCGAAAACCCGCAGCGTGCTGCAGCAAAGAGACCGCAGCAGTAAATAAATAAATAAATAAATTAGTTAATTAATCATAAATAATAAAATAAATCAGAAGAGAAAAAGAAACAAATTTAAAAATGATTAAACAAAAATTTTGGAGGCAAAAGGAAACAAAAAAGAGCTAAAAGGAGACAAAAGGGGGAAGAAAAAGAAACAAAAAAAGATTAAAAAGGGATAAAACAAAATTAAAAAGGAAACAAAAAAGGAGACAAAAAAGGAAACAAAAAAGACAAAAAAGAATTAAATCAGAAGACAAAAAGAAATCAAAAAAAAGATTAAATGGAGAAAAAGAATTAGCCATAAAAGGAGTTTAAAAGGAGACAAAAAGAGACAAAAAGAGACAAAAAAAGACAAAAAAAGAAAAAAAGAAAAAAAGAAAAAAAAGAAAAAAAGAAAAGGAAAAAATATGAGGTGTCTATACACCTGGGCTGCTGCAGCACAAGGCGCGTCGTGTGGACCATCGAGTCCAATTCGTCGGGGGGAAATCCAAACCTGAAAACAAATAAATAAATAAATAAATAAATAAATAAACGAATAAATAAATAAATAAATAAATAAATAAATAAATAAATAAATAGAGTAATAAATGGGAAAGGTTTCAGTAAAAGTCCAGCGGCAGCAGCAATCCTGCAGCAGCAAAAGTCCCATCTCCAGCAGGAACAGCAGCAGCAACAGCAGCAGCAAGAGCAGCAGCAACTGCAGCAGCAAGAGCAGCAGCAACGGAAGCAGCAACTGCAGCAACAGCAACAACAACAGCAAGGGCAACAGCAGCAGCAACAGCAGCAAAAGCCGCAGCATCAGCAGTAGTAGCAGCAGTAGCAGCAGCAACAACAGCAACAGCAACAGCAACAGCAGCAGCAGCAGCAGCAGCAGCAGCAGCAGCAGCTTCTTACCAGCCCTTGAGGTCCACGAAGTGCATTTTTACGACGCCAAGTTCATCAGACATAATTGCATCTGCAGGAAAACAAAAAGTTTTTATTTTTTATTTTTATTTTTATTTTTATTTTATTTTATTTTATTTTTATTTTATTTCTATTTTGTCTTTTTTATTTCTGTCGCTTTTTGCCTTTGTCTCTTTCGTCTGTGTCTCCTTTTGCTTTTATCTCCTTCCCCTTTTGTATCCTTCTATGTTTGCGGCAAACCCTAAACCCTAAACCCTAAACCCTAAACCCTAAACCCTAAACCCAAAACCCCAAACCCTTAACTCCAAATCCTAAACCCCAAACCCGAGACCCTAAACCCGACACCCTTACACCTATCCCGTAATCCCCAAACCCTTCCCTAAACCCTAAACCCTAAACCCTAAACCCCAAACCCTAAACCCTAAACCCTAAACCCTAAACCCTCGCTCGCCTTCTGCGTCTTTCTTGAGCTGCACAATCAGCCCCGGCAGCCGCGCGAAGGGGCACATCCAGGAGTGGGAGGTCACTTCAAAAGGGGTCATTTTAGACTCAAACTGCATCAAAAATAGCAAAAAAAGCAGCAACAAAACCACAAAAAACTCCCCAGAAACCCCAATTTCTCAACTCCATTACTTCCACTCTTAAAACCCTTTTCTTCCAAACTCTAAATCCCAAAATCCCACAAAAAATCTCAAAGAAAGGGCCACGGGGGCCCCCAAGGGGCCCCCAGGGGGCCCCCGGGGGCCCCCGGGGGCCCCCACGGGGCCCCCAGGGGCCCTCGGGGGCCCCTTCGGGGGCCCCTTTGGGGACTTTTTGGGGCCCCTTTGGGGGCCCCTTGGGGGCTCCTTGGGGCCCCCAAGGGGCCCCTTGGGGGCCCCTTGGGGGCCCCTTAGAGGGTACAATGGCATATAATTTTGGCGGACTTTTAGGGAATATTCGAAGTCGAATTGCATGCACTGAGTGTTCTTGTCTTCGAAGTACATGGGGTCTCCTGCTAAGAGCCAGAGTTTGTAAATGTAGCCTGAGACATTAAAAGACAAAAAGGAAATAATTAATTAATTAAAAGTAATTAAAACAAATTAAAACGAAATAAATTAAAATTATATAAATGAATTGAATAAATTAAAGGAACTAACTCGAATTGAAAGAAATAAAAGAACGAAAAGCAAAAAAAACGAAAGACAAAAGATAGATAATAGTAATAATGATAAAAGCAAATAAAATAAGAATAAAAATAAATAAAAATAAGATTAAAATAAACAAAATAAAAATTAAAATAAAAACTAAAAAAGTACCAGTCGGCATTGCATGGTCAAACAGCTGGCCGTTGTAAGTCGGAGTGCCCCCAAGACAGCCTGCAGCAGCAGCAGCAGCAGCAGCAGCAGCAACAGCAGCAGCAGCAGCAGCAACAGCAGCAGCAGCAGCAGCAGCGGCGGCGGTTTTTGGCACGATGAGCTGCTGCTTTTTGGATAAATTTGCAGACTTTTGTTTCGCGTTTGTTTTAATTGGCAATTAATTGAAATAAAAGTCCAAAAGTGTTGGAAAAATGGAAAATAATTAAAAGTTTGGAAAAAGAAATTCCCAAAAGTTTCGAATTTACCCAAAGCGCATGCAGGGGCACTCGCCGAACCATCTGGAGGACTTTCTTCTTCGAAGAGTTCCAAAACGAGCTGAAAAGGTCCTTTGGAAAAAAAACAAAATTAAATTCATTTTAATCCAATTTAACTCAATTTCAGCCATTTAATTCAGTTAGTTGATTCAAATTAACCATTTAATTCAATTAGTTGATTCAAATTAACCATTTAATTCAATTAATTCATTCAAATTAACCATTTAATTCAATTAATTCATTCAAATTAGCCATTTAATTCAGTTAATTCATTCAAATCAACCATTTAATTCAATTAATTCATTCAAATCAATCATTTAATTCAATTTAATTCAATTTCAATCATTTAATTCAATTAATTCACTCAAATTAACCATTTAATTCAATGAATTCATTCAGATTAACCATTTAATTCAGTTAATTCATTCAAATAAATTATTTAATCGACTAATTGATTAAACTTAATCATTTAATCAGCAAGTTGATTAAACTTATTCACTCAATTTAAATAATGGAGACCTTGACGAAATAAAATGAATTTCGACGAAATTGAATCGAAATTTGGAGATTTAAATGAATAAATGGATTAAAATTGAAGATTCAAATCAAACAATGGATTAAAATTAAATATTTAATGCAAATTTTGAAATAAAATCGAAAATTTAATTCAAATTTTGAATTCAAAAATTAAAAACTCACCCGAAATAAAGCGAAAGAAAACCCGCATGAAAATCCGCACAAAACGGTGCAGCCGAGAAGGCACCCGAATGGCCGTCTGAAAAAAAACAAAATTTAATTTAATTTAATTTAATTCAATTTGATTTAATTTAATTTAATTTAATTTAATTTAATTTAATTTAAATTCATTTGATTTTATGTTATTTAATTTAGTTCTGGAAAGAGGCAAAAAGGAGACATAAGAGAGGAAAGCGAGGGAAGCATTTAAAGCCCAGAATTGAGGGTTTAGGGTTTAGGGTTTAGGGCTTAGGGTTTAGGGTTTATATAGGCCTTGCGGCTGCTTTAAGCTCGCGTATTTTGCAGATGCCCCCGTAAAGTCCATTTCACAGACCCCCAGTTAGGGTTTAGGGTTTAGGGTTTAGGGACTAGGGTTTAGGGATGAGGGTTTAGGGTTTGGGGCCTAGGGTTTAGGGTTTAGGGTTTACTTGGAAGACAGAGCGCGTGAAAGGTTTCCAGCTTTCTTCCCCCGCGAAGTTCAGCACAAAAGGGTTTTCAAAGTCACTCACAAAGCTGATGCCAGAGTCGTCTAGGGTCTGCAGCAGCAGCAGCAGCAGCAGCAGCAGCAGCAAGCAGGTGCAGCAGCAGCACGCAGCTGCAGCAGAGGGAGCAGCCGGCTGCAGGAGAAGCACGCGACGGCGAGCAGCTGCAGCAGCAGCAGCAGCTAGCGGAAGCCGCAGCAGTTCTACCAGCAGCAGCTGGAGCAGCAGCTGGAGCAGCAGCAGCAGCAGCAAATGCAGCAGCAAATGCAGCAGCAGCAGCAGCAGTTGAAGAGGCAACAAATGCAGCGGCAGCACCAGCTGCAGCTGCAGCACGAACAGGAACAGCAACTGCAGGGACAGCAGCTGCAGCAGCAGCAGCAAAAGCAGCAGCAGCAGCGGCAGCAGTTGGAGTCTAAAACCCTAAACCCTAAACCCTAAACCCTTAAGACGCACAATTTCGGGAGGGGCTTTGGGGAGGAATGAAACAGAGGGGCACGATGAGGGCATGTGCAAGTGCATGCGAGCTACAAACAAACCCCAAACCCTAAACCCTGAACCCTAAACCCTAAACCCTAAACCACAAACCCTAAACCACAAACCCTAAACCACAAACCCTCCAAGAAAGCTAGCGACTGAGGCCGCAGCAGCCCAGGCTTCAACGAGCTGCGGAACCGCAGCTCCCTGCAGCCTGCCTAGTGTTTAGGGTCTTGCGATTAGGGTTTAGGGTTTAGGGCTTAGGGTTTAGGGTTTAGGGTTTGTCACCGTAGGGCACTAGGGCAAAGTCGAGGCGCAGCGGGTGGCAAGGCAGCAGCACCGCCGAACCCTCTTCAGGGTTTAGAGTGGGGCGCCCAGCAGCAGGGGCCACAGCAATTACCTGCGCACAAAACCCTAAACCCTAAACCCTAAACCCTAAACCCTAAACCCTAAACCCTGAGTTCTGCGCGCCGGCAGCTCTTGTGGTTCTTGAGCGTGGGGTTCTTCACTGCATAGAGGTGATTCCTAGCTAGCTGCGTGGCTAGCTGCTTAGCTAGCTAGCTACATAGCTAAGCAGCTAGCCGCATAGCTAGCCACCTAGCTAGCTAGCTAGTTGCCTAGCTAGCTAGCTAGCTACTTAGCGAGCTAGCTAGGTAGCCATCTACCTAGCTAGCTAGCTAGCTAGCTCCCTGCCTAGCTAGCTAGCCATCTGCCTAGCTAGCTCGCTAGCCATCGACCTTGCTAGCTAGCCATCCACCTAGCTAGCTACCTAGCTAGCTAGCTAGCCAGCTAGCCAGCTAGCTAGCCAGCTAGCCAGCTAGCCAGCCAGCTAGCCAGCTAGCTAGCCAGCTAGCTAGCCAGCTAGCCAGCTAGCTAGCCAGCTAGCCAGCTAGCTAGCCAGCTAGCTAGCTAGCTAGCTAGCCAGTGTGTTGTTACGCACAATGTAGTAAACGAAGTTTCTCTCAGCGTCTGTCAGGGGGGCGCTGAGCACTGCCCGCGTTTTGGAGCCCCCAGCGCCCTCCATTATGCTGCAGGCAACAAACCCTAAACCCTAAACCCTAAACCCTAAACCCTAAACCCTAAGCCCTGGACCCTTAGCCCTCAACCCTAAACCCTAAACCCTGGGGTTCACGTGCCTCAGACTATTAAAGCCATGCAAGTCAACGAACGGCGAGGGGGCCCATGTAAAACCCAAACCCTAAACTCTAAACCCTAAACCCTAAACCCTAAACCCTTTTATTGTAAAAATGTCTAGCCCCAAATGCAAAAGGCAATTAAATAAAACTAAAATTAAAAACAAATCCCGAAAATTAAATTTCAAAAATAATCTCACCTGGCACTTTGAACTGCTTCTCTCCGGTGCTTTTCTGCTGCTGCGGGGGTTTCGAGGGCATCTGCAAACGCATGCATGCATGCATGTATGCATGCATGTATGCATGCATGCATGCATGCAGTATGTATGCATGCATGCATGCAGTGTGCATGCATGCATGTATGCATGCATGCATGCAGTCCCAAATGTCATAAACAAAAATTCAGGCATGCATGCATGCATGCGTGCATGCACGCATGCATGCATGCGGCGCAAATGGACATTTCGACATATGCATGCATGCATGCATGCATGCATGCATGCGTATGCATGCAGTGCAAATGGATATTTCGATACATGCATGCATGCATGCATGCATGCATGCATGCATGCATGCATATATCGAAGTGCAAATGGGTAATTTGTGGGGCCTGGAAACTCACGTTTGAAGGGGACCATTGGCGGGTCTTGTTTGGGGTGTCTGTACACCTCAAGGTACTTAAACTCGACGAAACTGTCGCGGTGTAAATCGGCGCTCAGCGACAAGACGGAGTGGCCTGAAGAAGTTGCAAAATGGAAAAATAAATAAATTAAATTTGAAATAAATGAATTAAATCAAAAAACTAATTAATTAAATCGAAAGGCTAAATAACAAACAGTTTAGTTGCTTATTTCGCTCAAGTTCAAGAATATTTTTCGGAGTTCAAGTGTGTTCTTTTGAAGCTCTTCTATTTATTTATATTTTTCATTTTTATAATTCATAACTTTTTATTTAAAATAACTTTTAATTTGTTTTTACCGTCTTGGGCTGCAGCGGGAATGGTGAAGGAAATGAGGAACTCTTCTCTCTCGGAAGTGCCCGGGAGGCCGAAGACATCGGACACCGTAAGTTCTCCTTTAAAACCAAAAACAAATTAAAATAAATTAAAATAAATTAAAATAAATTAAAAAATAATTTCAAATTAAAAATAAAAAGAAATTAAACGGAACAGCAACGCGGAAAAAAAGCAGAAAAAACGGCCAGCTGTGCATGCACCCTGAGGTGTACGTACACCCCAGCACTTGGCCGCAAAATGCGAGAATGACGAAAAACCAATCAAATGATTAAATAAAGTAATTCTAAGAAGAGGAAATGAAAAGTAACAACAAAAGAACACAAAAGAAAGCCTCAGCAGCAGCAAAAGCTGGAGAAAATGGAAAGAAAAAAAACTGACACCGGCCGTTCAGCTGTACATACACCCCAAGAGCCCACCGTTGTTGTTCAAAAGGCCAAAAGAATCCAAAGAAGAAGGCAAAGGATGATATTTGCAATTAGGAGGACTATATTTTTCGTGGAGAGAAAGCAGGGCGAGCGCGGCTTCTTCGCGCTGCTGCTGCTGCTGCTGCTGCTGCTCCTGCTGCCGCTGCTGCTGCAGCTCCGCGTTGCGGGCTGCATCCATGGGGAAACCCACACACCCCAGGGGACACACAATGCATGCAAGCAGCAGCAAACTGAAAGACAGCAGCAAAAGGGGGGGCCCGAAGCTGCTGCATGCGGCGCAGCAGCAGCGGGAGAGCGGCCGCAGCGCTGCGGCGGCCCCGCGAGCCCGTTGCTGCTGCTGCTGCTGCAGCGGCTGCTGCAGCGGCTGCTGCTGCGGCTGCTGCTGCTGCTGCAGCAGCACGCGCCGCACGCCCCCCAGGGAGCGCATGGTGTGCTGCAGCTCCAAATTGCCCTTTTGCTTTTTATTTAATTAAAGGACTCTTGAAGGAGAGGAGAGCAGTGGAAGACACGGGCTGTACATACACCCCATGAGCCTGCGCAGCAGCAGCGAAACGGGCTGCTGTTGCTGCAGCTGCTGCTGCTGCTGCCTTCAATTGAAAAGACAAGCAAAGAAGCTCGAAGTTCTTTAATTAATATACTTCGACTTTAGTTGGAAACAGACAAGACCGCCAAGCGTGGGGGCCCCCAGCCCCAACGCCGCAGAGCAGCAGCAGCAGCAGCAGCAGCAGCAGCGGCAGCAGCAGCTGGAGGCTGCGGTGACAGCAATGATGAGTCGAGTTTGCAGAATCCCTGAAATTCCCAAATTCCACTAAGTTGCATTTCCAAAGAAAGTCAGAAAACGCATGCATGCAGCTGCAGCGAGCACCAGCGGCGGCTGCTGCTGCTCGTCGCTGCATGCAGCAGCAGCAGCAGCAGCAGCAGCAGAACTGGGGCCCCACGCCGTCGTTTTGCCTTTTTCTCGCGTCCACTGCCTCTAAAAACTTTATTAAAACAAATCAAATATATTATTTCAACAATTAAACGCGTCTTCTCCTCAAATGCATGCGCTGCAGCAGCTGCAGCAGCTGCAGCAGCTGCCACCTCAGCAGCAAGACCTTCTCGGTCTCTGCTGCTGCTGCTGCTGCTGCCTCGCGCTTGCGGCTGCGTTTGATTCAATTTCATGAATAATTTGATTTGAAAAAATATTATTTTTTGAATTTTTGAAATTAAAAGGAATATTTTGTTGCAGTTGCTTTTGATTCAAAAGGAAACACCAAATTGTAGTATCTGCGAGCGTCGTGTGGGGCCCCAGTTTGCTGTTTCTTTGTCATTTAAAAGTTTAATTTCATTTAATCTTCTACAATTAAAATTTTGAAATTAAATCAAAAGAACAAAACAAGAAAAATGCAAAAAAGAAAAACAGCAGCAAACCATTCAAATTGCTAAACAAGTCTTTCTGAAATTCGCAGTTCCTGCTGCTGCGCTGCAGCAGCAGAAACCTGCAAGCTGCTGCGTCTTTTTGCTGCTGCGCTGCAGCAGCAGAAACCTGCAAGCTGCTGCACCTTTTTGCTGCTGTGCTGCAGCAGTAGAAACCTGCAAGCTGCTGCGCCTTTTGCTGCTGCGCTGCAGCAGCAGAAGCCTGCAAGCTGCTGCGCCTTTTGCTGCTGCGCTGCAGCAGCAGAAACCTGCAAGCTGCTGCGCTGCAGCAGCAGAAACCTGCAAGCTGCTGCGCTGCAGCAGCAGAAACCTGCAAGCTGCTGCAGCAGCAAAAGACACAGCGGTGTTTCCTTTTGAATTAAAACGCCACTGCAACAAAGCATTGTTTTGAATTTCAAATATTCAAAAATAATTTCATTTCAATTTAATATTAGTTCAAAACAGTGCTTGTATTGTTTCTTCTTTTGCAAAAAGAAAAAAGCACTCCAAAGAAAAAGTACATCTGGTCTTGTTTTTCAAAAATAAACAAATACATTAAAGTTCTAAATCTGGAAAAGTGAATTTCCTGATGGGTCAAAGAGCGTCTTGGAAAGTCCCAAGTTGGTTGCATGCATGCGTTTAGCAGAAATGGTTTTTTGAATAAAGTTCACAAAAGTAAATTCATGAAACCTGTTCGAGCAAACTAGATATATTAAATACTTCTCCTCATATAAAACCCTTTTGAACAAATTGGATATATTTAATATTTCTTTTTTCAACAATCTTGAAAAAGATGGCGCGAAAGTATATTTTCTTTTCTCCAAAAAGAAATAAACAGTAGCAGCCTTTAGAGCCAAAAAGGATTTTTATTTGAACAAAATATGTTTTACTAATTTCTAGTTAAGCAAAATGTGTCTCATTAACTTCTTGTTGAAGAAATTTTCTTCTATTTCCTGGGACTGAAGATACATTTATCTTTTCGGATAAGTGCGTTTAATCCCTAAGACTAAAAGGATATTTAATCTTTTTGCAAATTGCACTCAATTTCCCTGAAAGGAAATTTATTCTTTTGCAAATTGTACTTAATATCCCGATATTGAAGATAACCTCATTTCTCGCAAAATGAGCCTAACTAAGTCTACATGACAACAATTTGATTTAAGTCTGGTGGCTGCGTTGATTTGCGCGGACTAAATGCATTTTATGTACAAACACTTTGCCGGCAAAAATAAAAAGTCGAATACATTTTTACTGTCTTGAAAACAAAATAAGCATTACGGAGTTTCTTATGCAAAAATAAAAAGCCGAATACATTTTTACTGTCTTGAAAACAAAATAAGCATTACGGAGTTTCTGATGCAAAAATAAAAAGCCGAATACATTTTTACTGTCTTGAAAACAAAATAAGCATTACGGAGTTTCTGATGCATTTTGCCACTTATTCATGTACAAAAAATACCCCTCTTTGCATTTGGCAGCTGCTTGCCACTCTAAATTGTGGGGCCTGCAGCAAAGCCCTCAAAAATAAAATAATGCTCTAGAAAGCAGCAAGTTTGTTTCATCCTATTCAAAGAAACAAAGGAAAACTCCGTGGCCTCAAAAGGCTAACTCTTCAGCCTAGTAGACTTGAAATTTGCTTGAAGACAACTACCCTTGGAGCTTTCTCATGAGCTGGTTTTGGAAAATAAAACATATTTTCAACAGTTCAACTTCGCTACCTTTGTACAATACTTTGTGACTATATCTGCTGCAGGCTGCTGCTTGCTAAGGACTTGAAAGTGCAGCAAGAGGGAGCGCTTTCTGAAGAAAAGTCTTTCTTTCCAAGAATGACAAAAGCCTCACAGTCTGAGGAATATGAGGCGACAATTGCAGACTTTATATTTTTGCACAAAAGTACCAAAAACGGAATCTTCCCACAACGCCAACACACGTGGCGCACTTCATCAGGTGAATGCCCTCTAACGAGATGTAGCAAACTGGAAGCGTGGCAGTTATCGCAGCGCATTTGAAAGCTTCTTCCTCGGTTCTGCACTTGAAACTTAACACTGTTCAATCTCAATAAACTTTGAGAACGTAAGAACTAGACATTTGCCCTCGGAAGAACCTGAGAGAAAAGAACATGCAGCGCGCACGCTGTTTGCACAAGTGATAGCTTTCTCACTGATGATATCTGCTGGCTTGCCGCTTGTAATTAGTGCATTATTTCTTGCCTAACTTCTATACTATTGTCGAATGTAGTCACTTCACATTAAAAATATGCACAAAATCCCGTCCCCCGTACACTATTCTGCTGCATATTCTGAGGCTTGGCTTCTACGGGATTGCAATTTCCCAAGTATAATGCGTAGGCACAACTTAAAAGCCCGCGAAAGTGCAGCAGTTTATGCAAACCAGCATCTCCAGTGCACCCCATTCTTTCCAACATCTCCAAACAGTATTTGCGTACAGATGCTCGACCCCGAAGACCATGGTAGTGAGCTGAGGGCGCCAGAGGAACTTACTTTGTCCATGCTTAAACTTGTAAAGATATTTTTTGTTCGCTTTTCGCTACATAGTGCTGAATCCGCCACAGCTTGTCATTGCCACAGCGTGCAGGCCTGTGCTGAACAGATTGGAACAAAATGGTTACTCCTTCCAGGCACCGATCACTGCAGGTGTGTTACGCCCATGTACGGGTGGACAAAAATTTTCCAGAGCCAATGATGCTGCGCACTGTCCTAGCGTTTACTTGCAATCTTTGCATTTGAAATTACGCCTGTGGAGTAAGCATGTGGGACAGCAAGGAATGTATGACGATCAGCGATGGCAGCTTATCTTGTATCAGTTGCTCAGCTTTCTGAATACTGTGGCTGGTGCGCTGCGGGCTCGGGTTTTCCAGAAACAACTCACATGAATAGGTGCCGAGTTGTTCCATTGTTATGCAACCAAGCGAATGTATTTTACGACATGCTTTAGGCAGTAGGTGCCATAAATACGAGCTGCCAGCCATGAAAAGATATGCCAGTTTGATCAAAGCTCTTGCTTGTTGCATGCAATTTGCTTGGAAACTTTTAAAAAGAACTTCATATCTTACATTCACTTTGGTGACTAGGATTACAAACAATATACGCATTGTACAGTCAGCGTTTTGGGATATTAACTTTTGCTCTCAGTATACTGCGATATGTACAAGCTGCACTTAACTGTTTGCAAGTACCTACTATATACTGGCTAAGATTTTGGAGGAGTGTAGCCCTATTATGTTTTCTTTTGCTGGTAGAATTCCAATTTCAAATTGCCTTGCTAAGGCTCTATCTCCCCAGCAAAAGCATCAATCGAGCAACATATATCTTAACACCATACAGGCCGTGCGGAGCGTTGTTTTTTCCCGGCATTTCGGAACTGTAGTTGTTTTGAGCAAAACCCGTAAAGGTGCACAATCCTGCTGCTGGCACATATTCGCGTACGCAGTATGCAACATGCAAAAAGGTGTATCAGACTGGAATAGCAGGCTGAGAAGCAACAAAAAACCAAGGCATGCAGGGAAATGTCCACTTATAAGACCATTAAGATGATAGTCAGATCACCACCTCAGTTTGTCACTTTTGGCATAGACCACGAACGCATCAACCACATATTGCTGCGTAAAGGGTGACTAAGCCACGCCATGACTTGCCGCTGCACTGCATGCAGGCAAGATTGTCTTGCTGAAAATAGTGTGAAGGTTTTGGTGCGCAAACTGAAAAAGCATCAAAGCGTATCAGGTTACAATTCTATCAATTGTTCGCGCCCATGCAGAGCAAT